GATGCTCAATTTGAGGGACGTCTGACCACACAGTCGCACATTTTTCTGAAAGATTCTCTATTTGTCTGATAGCTGTTTCCAGATGGACCCACAAACAAGTGTACCCCAAGGATATTCATTTGCAGCTCTAATGTTCTGTGGCGAAAAGGACCGAAGTCATTTCAGCTGAAATAAATTGAATCTGGAGCTCATCGGAAGCTTAAGTTAAGCCCGCAGGTACAAACGCTTTCCCCTTTCCAGACAAAATGGACACGAGGAGAAAGTCTGAAATCTTAAATAAGCGATAACGTAAACAGCGGCAGAAGGGGAAAGTGAAATGAGGCTCAGCTTCTCTCTGTGTAAGTCAAATTTGCTGTGGGAGACATTGTGATTGATTTGGGTTTGAAGCGTGTGGAGCAGCTGTTTGTGAAGAGAAAAGCAAAGCGTGGACACATGCCACCACAAAAGGCGGCAGTCTATTAAATGCCATGCTTTCACCCAGGGCTTTGAGACCACTGAATCAGAACAGACAGGTTTCATAACATGCACAGATACATCCCCTTTGCACTTTTAATTACAATCCCATCCATGATCTGCTTTTCCCAGTGCATGTTTTTATTCTCCTCCAAAATGATTCACTGAGTTATGATACACACTGGTGGTTCAGCTGGGTATCTCTGTGTCACCTCTTTTTTCCACCCTCCCCCTTTTTACAGCAATTTAAATTGTGATCCGACGGAGCACATGAAAGAGGATTTTGAGGCACATCAATTCTGCACTCAGACACAGATACATCGGAGCATTTCCCTCCTGCTGTATTCCCATATGACTCTTACTTTTTATAGAAACACCGCCCCCTCTTACTTTCTATTACATGATGTACGTTATATATTATAACGCCTGCTGAAAATAGCTCATGGAGGCGCTATAATTATAATTCTTGAAATGAATATAAATTTGAAAGAGATTTTTATTATCTTTTATTTGGTGAGATTATTCTTCAAGAGCATTGATTGTTATGTCTTCAGGCTTATCTTACACATAATTGGGTCACTCCATGAAATGAGAGCTGTATCTGTTTTGAAATGGTGATTTTTATAAAAGCAAATTTCATTATAATGATAAACATCAAATCAGATTAAAGATTAAATCAGATTAAGTGGTATTGTTTTTTCAATGGTATTGTTTGTTACTGCTACAGTTCACCTGCTAAAGTATCATTTTTACTGAAAAACCATGAGCATCAGACTTGCAATCTCATGTGAAATAAGTGGAAAATGATTTAAGCATTACATGTGAAACACATGTAAACAAAGGTGGACACATTGTTGAAACATGATCATGTGTTTTACATTTCCACTTATGATCATGTGTGTTTAACATATTTCAGGCATTTCCTTTATTAAACATCAGTGGGAGTCAGACCTTGCTATACACATTGACAAGTTATTAAAAAAGGTTAGGCCTAAAGTAGGTTTCTTATACATTTTAATCTTTTCCTTAACCTTCCTGTCATGTTTGGGTCAAATCCGACCAATTTGCAGCTTAAAACCCTCATAAATATTGTGTTTTACATCTGATTGCCTCAAGGCCTTATGATATACTTCACACTCTGCGCTTAACCATATAGAAGTGATGATCACCTCTTTCATTGAGTTTTGAGTGTTTTGATCAACCTTGTTACACCTGTGGTGTTCCCAGAAATGAATGGGTCTCCAGACTATAGTCATCCATCAGACAGAAAACATCTCCATACGCACCACCCCAACTCACTAACACATTTCAGAATGAACAATGTCTTTTGCAGGTACACATCTCTTTTACATGCTTGTGCCGAACCTCCAGCCTGATCTTACAAGGAAACATAACTATTTTATGTTTTGTCAATTTAGTGGCTAATTTGTACTAATTTCTTTCTTTCTTTCTTTCTTTCTTTCTTTCTTTCTTTCGGCCAATCTCTATTCAGCCAATCTTGCTTATCATCGATTATTTTATTGGAGTAGACCATTAGCATCTCACTCAAAAATGACCAAAATATTACAAGGGCTAGTTCTGTGTCTACTCACCATCCATACCCTCAGTCACTATTCCCTACATTAGTACACTAATATAATCCAACTGACGGACTGAATGAAAATTCGAGTACACAGGAAAGAATACATATATAGTTTTGTTTGTGCTTTACTGGTTGATAAATCATTCCGATGGATAAATCATGCAGATGGTGCTTATTTGTGTTTTCGCTGCAGTTATTTTATGTCTAATTCTATAAATTCATGTTACACACTACTTTTACACATTGTTCACAGCTAAAGAATGTTAAATTAAAATCTGGTGGTGAAAAATGTTTTTTGTGCAACTGTAAGAGCAGTTAAAACAGACTGGTCAATTTTGACCAGGAACACTAAAGAAAGGGGCGGGATGTGAACACGACATGAGGGTTAAAAGGCACGTAAGAAATTATTTAAGCATACATTTTTGTCTATAATTGATTATGGTGATAATCTATATATGCATGCAGCCGCTACTCTACTAGATTATGTTTATCATGCAGCAATACACTTTGTCAAAGGTGCAGACTCATGGACACATCACAGTATTTTGTACGATTCCTTATTTACTTTAAAATGCTCTCTTAGGTAAACTACCATCCAACTTTCTTATTTGCTAACATTTTACATAAATTACCAACACACTAGATTTGGTTCCTGTTTTCGGTTAACAGTCCCAAGGGTATTGTCAGAACTTGGCAAACATGCTTTTTCCTTTTATGCTCCTACAGGGCTTAGAATGACCTGCAAAATCAGCTTAATCTTGACACACCTCTGACTCTGAGTATTTTTTAACATCTTCTGTACAACGTCTTAAAGGATACTTGTAATTGTATTTTATGATCCGACCTTTTTACGAATGGTGATTTTGTGGTTATTGTTTTTGGGATTTTTGTGTGAAACTTTATGTACTGTCTGTCATCTTCACTGGAAGAAGAGACAGTATTGTCTCAATGTGACCTCCTGGCTAAAAAAAGGAAATAATAATAATAATAATAATAATAATAATAATAATAATAATAATAAAGACCTTAATCTTACATTCGAGGATAAGATGTGAACCAAGATTTTGTGCCATGTTCATACCTCCTCTATTTGTGCACAACATTGCCTTAACCAATTAAAATTAGTTTATCAAACATACTTGACTAAAATGAGGTTGGCAAAAATAACCCAAGACTTGGACCCCTATGTGATGGCTGTAATCAAGCACCTGCAGACTTAATACATATGTTTTGGCTTTGTCCATCAATAACTTATTTTGGCTATTAATTTTCAGCTGTTTCTCTTCTGTGAAAGATGCACATCGAACTGTGTCCTCTTATTGCGCTTTTTGGACTTTCTTATAATATAACAGGGTTATCGAGTTGAACTGCAAATGCCCATTTTTTGACACTGTTAGCATGACAGATTATTCTTTTAGTATGGAAACAAAGATTTCCCCTGTGTTTTGACAACTGGTTGCGAAATGCAATGAGCTTCATCCATTTGGAAAAAAATCAGGTTTACAATAAACGGCAATACTAGAGCTTTTTCTGAAACATGGGACCTATTTAAAATGTTCTTTTCTGAGCATATCTGTATCTCTACAGACGGTCAATCTAAATCTTAGGGCCTTTCAATTGCAATGCAAATGTAATTAAGTACACTGTATAAATACTGGGTACAATCGCTTCACAGCAAGAAGGTCGCTGTTTTGAGCCCCGGCTGGGTCAGTTGGAATTTCTGTCTGGAGTTTATGTGTGTGAATGAGTGTGTATGGATGTTTCCCAGTGATAAGTTGCAGCCGGAAGGGCATCCGCCGAGTAAAACATATGCTGAATAAGTTGGCGGTTCATTCCACTGTGGTGACCCAAGATTAATAATACGACTAAGCCGAAAATAAAATAAATGAATGAATACCTGAAAATTAATGTTTGCAATATTGGGTTATCAAGGTACATGTGAATTCTGTACAGGTTTTTTATTGTTTAACTTATTTGATAATTTTTTTATTTATGATCAATTATATTCATTATTATTATTATTATTATTATTATTATTATTATTATTATTATTATTTCTTTTCTCTCTTGGATAAATGTAATTTCATCTTGTTTAGAGGGTATGGGTGGGAATAATGCTTGTGTAAATTTCTCTGTAAAACTACTTTGTTATATCTGTAAAAGTTTCATAAACAGATAAATAAAACTTATTTCAGGCATGATTTTGTTATTGGTTTTTCTGTAGGGTGAGAACAAACGGTATTTATTGAAATATCAGTTTTGACATTTTTACAGATAGTCCAATTGTCAGATAATTACTTTATAAAATAACAGGTTAACCACATGAATTGACCCCTGGTGACAAAGACAAAATATAATATTAAGAAGATGTAAAATCAAGTAAGAACAAATCGCATCCTGAAACACTGAGTCATAAATAAAATGCCAAATCAAGTAGCTTATTTAAATAATTCATTCCAAGAATTGGGCACAGTACAATTGATCATAATTGTATTATAAACATGCAAACAGATAAAAAATGTTAATAAATTCTATTGTGCTATCTCATAAAATAATAATATTGGATTTAGTTACTGTTATGCATGTTAAATTAGCAAGGTTAAACAGTTTTACTGTTAATGAAATAAAAATAGCAGATATTTACTGTCCAACATCATAATAAACTATTTATGTTGACCTGTAATGAAAAAAAATTAAACACAAATATATAAATATGACAAAACATATCCTAAACTTTCTCAATGATCAAATAACAATGAAATACTAAATTAAAAACACATAATTGGGTCATTCCAAGAAATGGCTTCTGTTTTGAAAAGTGTATTTAGTGATAAAAATAAAATTATATGACTGTTAATACATAATGTGCTCTCAATCCATCGATATACAATCTGTAAGTATTACTTTCATTGTTTGCAGATGGCATGTTCGTCATAAGGGATAAACTGGCTCCTTTTTCCTACCCTGACCCAGTCATGTGTCTTCTATTCTATGGGGCTGTACCTTTATACATTCCTCTCCACTTCTTTATATGGACACTCCAACTATTGGAAATAAATAAATAAATACTTTGCTGTAATATTTATCGTCGACATTGCAAGTGGAGCTTCCCTCAGAAAACCGTGGATATGCTTTAGAGCTGTAAGATCTTCTTCCCACGCAAAGCTGCCGTATAATGTTTTTATATGGGCTGAAGGAGAGTCGACGGAAACACACCGACGCGCACGAGACACATGGTACATATTTCGTGTGCTGTTTGGAGCGACGCGCAACTGAAAGTCCGTTCATTCCGACACTGACACCATTTCATCTCACTCTCGCTGACTATTGACTTTTATGGACGAGGAATTTACAGCTTCGCACCCCAATAGCCTGATTAACGTGATTTGATGAATTCATACAGTAAACAAAGAGGACAGTGAAATATTTCTTCGTGGTTCAGAAGCGCGGAGATTCGGACAAGAAAGTTCGTGAAAAGCTGAGAGATGCGCGCGGACTCGCACTACTATGAGGCGCGGCGTACAGTACGAGTGTTTTAAACCTTTACTGTGTCACTGTCAGTAATTTACCTGCTTTAAACCAACATAGATTATGTATTTCGTCGGATATCTGTTGCTCAAGAACTGCTTCAGTGACTCGCGTTTAGCAGGTTGTTCTTTGTTTTGATGCTCCCGTTTATCCTTACGAATCAGAGGTATTGTTGTTTATCGAGTTTACCGGCGCCTCACGGGCTTCTGCAATGCGAGACTACGGATTCAAACCGCTTGACATTTCTCTGGAAAGCCAGTCGACTGCCAAATTTTCATTGAATCAAACTGAATGAGCCGGACACCTGGATTGCCAAGTCGCAAGGTAAGACATTTCAAAACATGAAGCTTAAAAATGTATATATATGGCGCTTATCTACAAACTGCCTTCCGGAATGAGCAGAAATAGTCAGTGTATTAACAGTGTAAGTACCTGCATTAACTGCTATTACGATTAAATGCAGTAGCTTACAAATGTATACTATATATAACAGCCTGTGGCAATTATTTATTACATTTTGAGTTCCAACAAAGTGCATTTTTATGCGTCCTTGTGTGGAAAGTACATATATAACTGCTGTTTACAGAGACACATTACGCATTATGTATTCCATCTTGCAGTAATAAGGTGAATTATCGTTATTGACATCATTTATATGAATTGTTTTAAGCACATTAGTAATGTCAGTTATGATGTACAGTAACTACTATGTGTAGTACACTACACTGTCCAGTACTGTCCAGATGAATCATGCAAGCAAAGCATTTACAGTACACAGATAGATAGATAGATAGATAGATAGATAGATAGATAGATAGATAGATAGATAAAGCTTTCATTCTCTGTTTGCTAAATACTAATGCTGTACTGTTTATAGATGCCCTCTAATTATTCATTGCTATCAAAGGAAACGGCGCTATGAAGAAGCAATTGTTCCCTCTAATCTACCCGCTCTGATGTACCCTTCATCTACAGGGTGCATGAGTCACGAGCCAGGTTGTATGAATAATAGTGACACAACATCATCATATAAATATGCAAATCCAATGAATGCTTAAGCACAAATAGCCTCTTAGTGTTACAAGTCCGTATTACTTTGTACCCTTGTACCAGAATTGTTCACAAGGAGATTAAAGTGCATACATGAGTAGCAAAAGTTTCCATTATCCATTTTACCCGACACATTAACACCGCTGAAGTGTTTTCAGCCTCTGTCCTATTAGAATTCAGAAGGGCCGAGACTCATAAGGCTTAATTGACTAAGACACCGGCAGGGGGATTTGATTGCACCTTTGCACAAGGATGAAGGTGCTATAATCAATGAGGAATGAAAGCATGTGGCATCTCTCTCTTGCTGTTGTTGAGATGGAGGCGAAGGATTGAACAATTACTCATTTGAAGCTGCTTAGAGACTATTTTGTGCAATTGACAGATTGATTCAAGCATAAAACAACTCGGTTTATGAAGTGGATGTTTGTTTCGTCTAAATCACTGTTAACTCTGAGTCACTGGACCCATATGCATTAGTTATATTTGTTTTGCATAGAAAAATAATATTAGCATTTTCATAATATTTACTGAGGAAAAATTCGCTGTTGTGCGACCCTTTTCATTAATGACATGTTATATAAATCACATTTAACTCAAACCTAGATATGCTTTTTAAACATGAAGAGATGAGAAAGAGATTTACTTGTTTGGATTTGTGTTTTGGTATGCTGATCTGACGCCATATTTTTTGACTAACCGCTGTGAATCTGTGTGGGCTGACTAGATTGTCAAAGGTTAATTTAACCACGGTCAATTCAGTTTTACTTATTCTTTGAGGGTAAGCAGCCTTTTTTTCTGTATCATATTGTTCACCTCTGCTTATACGGTTGCTATTCAGACTCTCACTCTCACCTGACCTTGACAAAGGATTTTTTTTTTCACATTTAACGGGTGATTTTCTACAGATGTAAATGCAAAAACATGTACGTGCCCATGCATACACACCACGGTTAAAATGAATGGCTTAATAGTGGTTGCCATGATCACAGATTTAAAAACACATTTACAGGAATGGCTGTAATACTTAAACCTGTCTCAATATTGCTGAGTGATAAAGTTCCACAAAAATGCATTTAAGCAACTAAATATAAGAGAAATGCACAGATCTAAAAGCTTTAGCTGATTGTGAAAAGAAGTCTTTAAAATGATCTGAAGGATTCTCTGACTCAGTTCTGTACGAGACTTATTTGTCATGTAGAAGACCCTTTTTATCCTAAGCTCTATTGCTTGAGATGAAATGAATCACAGGCAATTCCACTGTTCAAATGTTTCAACAGAGCAATTCTGACAAATTATAGCTGCCTACATACTGTAGCGCCCTCAGTTTAAACCAGACATTACCATGACACCAACTACAGTGCTGTTGTGTGAAATCATGTAAAGATAAACAACATTAAAATGCCAGCTGCCTTCATCTGAAACCAGAATCTGTGATTCAATTTTATCTTTGCCCTGCAAAATATAATGTGATTTATTGCTGCCACTTGCACTACAAGCAATCCATTTAATTCAGTCAAAAAAATTAAGTGTACACTCTTCATCAGCCTTCTTCAATATGAGGAAATATTTGGTTTCAGATTCACAGCAGAGTCTGCACGTTTATGGCAAATGAACAAACTCCACCAATGAACGAGTCCTTTACAGCCAATATGTGTAAACAGTTTCCGACCTCTCAGAGACAAACAACAGCATATGTTTTAAAGGCCATGTGTCTCGTTTTGACCAAAAAAAAAAGTCATTAAGTCTTTGTGAAAATTCACATTTCCAAGATTCCAATGGCAGTTCGAACCTGGGGAATTTTTCTGTTTTCAAATGCCAGGGTGGTGCAGACTACACGCATAGAGTAGCAGAAATGTAAATTAGGTCTGCTGTGACATGCTAATGCGGCTCTAACTGGAATTCATGCAGAATTTGAGCAATTTTAGCATGGCCTCATTTTAATGATGAATAACAACACTAAATAATGCCAGCAGATGATTAAGGACAAAAGAATGATTGCAAGATAATGTACGATTTAAAAAGAATTGTAAAGAGTTGTTTAAATATTATTTTAGAATAAAAAATAAAATAATATTAACAAAAGGCTACACGGTGGTGCAGTGCGCAGCAAGAAGCCCCAGCCCGGTCAGTTGACATTTCTGTGTGAAGTTTGCATGTTCTCCCTGTGTTTGCGTGGGTTTCTTCCTGGTGCTCCGGTTACCCCCACAGACCAAAGACATGCAGTATAGGTGAACTGAATAAACTAAATTGGCCATAGTGTATGAGTGTGAAGGAATGTGTATGGATGTTTCTCAATACTGGGGTCCAGAAAGAAAGGGCATCCTCTGTGTAAAACAAACTCTGGATAAGTTGACGGTTCATTCTGCTATGGAGACTTCTGATGGATAAAGGGACTAAGCCGAAGGAAAATGAATGAATGAATATTAACAGAAGCCACCGCTTTTAATTTGTTCTTTTTGATATATTACACAACTTAATTGCTTCAGAGAGTAGTGCCATACTTGCATAACAAGCCACAAATGCAGACTCCACATTATTCGTTCTCTACCAATACTTTATTTTACCACAAATAGACCTTGTTATATATAGGTGGGTGGAGAAATGATGACTAGCATTGGAGAGGAAGCCAAAGGAAGTGAGGAATGGATCTGCAGCGGACACTTTGTTGAAGATGCAGGTCGAAACTGTCCAGGAATCAATGCGGCGAGAGAGATAGAGGGAAAGATTGACATTAAAAGTGGGAAGGCGCCTAGAATAACTAATCATCAATCTATTCCCTAATTCATAATTTGATCTCTAGAGACTGGAGGCTCTTTTCATTAGTTAGCTCTGATGGTGTGGTATTATTGCACTGGGAGAATGTGCTCAGCAGATGCTGACTGTGTTGAAAAGCGTGTGGGAGCTCAAACAATCTGCGAAGCATGAAGTCAGCATTCTTGATGCATGATCCAACATTTGACGGTCCGCTGAGGCAACGGCACAATCAAATCAAAAAGCTCTGAAATAATCTGCTTTCTATCTGATTGTGTTGCTATTTTAATCACAGATTAATGAGGAGAAGGTAAAAGAGGGCGCACCAACCACCGCGGCCACATGTCGTTTTCTAATATCAAAAAGAGAGATATGACAGGATTTAGATCTGAGCACGATTGATGTGCTTGGTTAAAGAGCATCATAAACCTGCAAGACTATTTAACATCACATTAATCACACATTAAAGACACTGATGAATATTAGTCTCGGCTTCAGACAGACCACACACAGACAGTCAGATGCGCACTGCAACAGCTAATCTGACTGGCTGACTTTACACTGCTTCCTGAAGTAAGAATGCGTGATATTTTTTAATAAGTCCACCAGAAAACCAAGACATTGTCAGTGCTAGACTGATGAAATGAGAACTTATAAATGTATTTGATTAGATTTGCTGACAGTTTGCACTGGAGAAAATCCTCTTTTGGGGTTTAAAAAACTACTAAAGTTTATCATTCATTGTTTACTGGCCTTATTGTACATTCATTAAAAAAATGATTGGAGCAATTTATTTACATGATTAATACTAGCATGACTGTTTATCCATATAACATCAGCATACTGAAAACATAGATGGTTGGTCTACAGACAACAACACTGTCATAATGATCTTCATTCACACAAATAAAACAATATATTATGCATACCAGGTCAGTAGTTGGGAAAAGAAGATTTTATCTACTCATGTTCATTTATTAGTTATACCAGAAGAAATGATCTAATCACATCAATACAGTGGTTAAACAATTTGCGGTGCTCTAGGTAGATTGTGCTGATAATTATGGAAATGAGCGGCTGCATCTGTGTTCTTTAATTCACGCATAGTCACTTGTTTATCCGCAGAAATTCCATCGCCAGACAATCCACTTCCATTGTGCGCTTATGCTAATTTGCCCAGTTTAGTAAATATGTATCAATTAGTGCAGATTTCTACAAGCAGAAACATTCAGGTTTTCTGTAAACATGTTTATGATTCATTTAGACTTATTCATTATAGCCAATAATCAGTCATTTCAGTGCTAATGCTTTTAGGAGGAAACATGCTTAATAAATAAATAAAATTTAATTGAATAGACTCGTTATCTAATAGATTATTAACAGACTCATTATCTAATAGATTACTAATAGACTTATTATCTAGTAGATTATTAATGTCAACTGCGTACATATGCCATAAAATCTGTGTGCTGTGCATGCTTGTTATCTATACACTGAAAAATCCCAAAAAGTTAAGGTAACTCAAACCGTTTGAGGAAATCAGCTGCTACAAACAATTTGAGTAAAAAAAAAAAAAAAACTAATCTATATGAGTACTGTGAACTTACTCTATTTACGTTGAAGTAATGAGGCATGAACAAACTCATTACCTTCAACACTGAGTTTAAAACTCATTTAAAATGAGTAGAATTAATTTTCAGTCAATTTTGACTTAACTGCACTCATTGCATTTGATTAAGTTTTACAGTGTAGCATTCACCTCTAGAAAATTTGAGCAGTAGCCAAATATCATATATCCATATTAAACCAGGATGTTTAGGTTATGAGTTTAAAAAGCTTTAAATCATAGTTCACTAACTTGATTCCTTGAGGGCCGCAGCTCTCCACAGTTTTGTTCCAACCCTAATCAAACACAGCCAATCTAAATAATCAAAGTGTTCGAGACTACTATAGAGTATTGAGCAGGTGTGAGTTAGAGGTGATTGAAGCTAAACTACGCAGAGCTAATAAATTGAGTTTGAGTTTGAGACCACTGCTTTAAATACACATATTTATCAATATCACTTTGTCCTGCAATATATCCAGCAATAACTGTATATAAATATATGACAATCACTTTGCAAAAAAAAAAAAAGAAAAAGAAAATTGACAACACTGTTTCTCTGAGGTGTTTTTTTTTTTTTTTTTTTTTTTTTAATGATTTACATTTATTACATTTAACCATTCAGGAAGATTGAAATCTAATTATTACGTTTTCATGCTGGTTCATTATTGTGTAGTAATCATTTTAGTCACAGAATGATAGAAAATTGCAAACAAAAATGACAAGACAATGACAAACAATAAAAAGCACAAATTAAATATTAAATTAGAAATACAGTGCATGTCAAACATGCCATTTATAATAATAATAATAATAATAATAATAATAATAATAATAATAATAATAATAATTCCTTATATTTATATTGCACTTTTTTTGGACACTCAAAGCGCTTTACACATTTTTTTGGGGGGGGAGGATCTCCTCATCCATTAAGTCCTGCCTATGCAAGACTAACTATACATTTCCTCTTGAATTTTGAAAGGCTGGTTAGGCAAGTAGGATGGACCATTGGGCATTTCAGGATTGCCTTTGTAACAAAGATGTCTGCTTTACCTTCATGGCACATGATCTGTCAGGCATTGCCCATTCGGCAGGGTTATCAGTGAGTGCCACGAGGCAACAGAATGAAGTTAATTGAAATCTGCCTGATAACCACATTTTATCAGCCGAGTGGTGTAAAAAGGAACATGAGGATTTTTGTACAAATTTGAAACCAGAGAGAAAAAAAATGACGCATACAGTCACTCACTACTCGCTTACAAAACTCCTCAATCTGCAATATTTATGCCATAATGAGAGTCTTCACAGATCAAGCCACTCACAGTGCCACAGACATCATTGTGTTAACTGCATGACTACTTTCCTATTGCCCAGCACCTGTCCATCCTGGCAGTTCGCTCTTATTAAACTTTCCTCTGCATGTGCTCAATAGTCCATGTCTTTACCTCACGCTCCCTCACTTTTCTCTCCTCTCACTCCTCCTACAGCTCACGGCCTATTGAACACATTAGCACCTGTCACATCCGTCCAGCCAAGGTCATCGCTCCTTCCCTTCATTCTCCATCCGGCTGTTAAACACCGAGTCCCGGCTCCCTGCTCTTCTACAATGGAGAGTCTAAGTGAGCTTCAGAACCCTCTTCTGGATAAGAACAGCAAGCATATGGTGATGGCCGACTATGGCTATGGAGGGGACTTCCACAGCAACCAGTATCAGGAGAACATTATAAACTACTTTGTGACTGGTGGAGGAGGTGGTGGTGGCGGTGGAGGTGGTGGTGGTGGGGTCGCAGTAACAGGAGGAAACGGCAAGGCGAAATCTCAGCTACTGGACGCCACTTCGCTTCATCTCGCGGTGGAGGCCTTTTATAAGCCTAACTTCATCCTTTACAAGGACGACGTGAGCGGCAAGGGCAAGGATTACAAAAATGAGTGCTGCGAGACCACCTTCATGGAGAAGAAAGACAAGGAAGTTGTGGTTGAGACCCCCAGTACGGAGGACCCACAGGCTAAACTGTTGGATGAAAATGATGTGAAAATCCAGACGGTTTCTTATGAGGTGGAGGAAGAGGAATACGTTGAATATGAGGTGAGTTTGCAGTTTTTTGAAGATAGTAAAGGGTTTGTGATATGACCAAAAACTTGTTTCATGACACGAGACATTCAATTGTGGATTAATGACATTATTTGTTGATTAGAATGAATTTTATGTAAGAAATATACTGCTGCTAAATAAGTGAAGGCTAATGCTGAGACAAAAAAGTAAAAGCTATAGCAAGCAAAGCTGGAGACAAGTTAATCTATAGAAAAAAAGATTGAATTTGTTCTCTTATGATGTCCACTTGACAGCTTGGCCACTCCTCTCTAATTGCGTGTATCCACTGAGTGGTACGGTATGCTATAGGTCGGCACAGGTCACCATTATCAGGCTTGCGTTTCCAAAAGGTACCGATGGTACTCTTTTGGTGGGTGTGGTGTACAACAGAAAGTTTCAGTTGACCTCATTCTCGCTCTAGGAAATGTCTACAGTAAAGCTGTACTGGTCGTTCACTTATCATATAAGAAGCACTCACAAAACAGATGCTTTATACACAAATACATGTGTATAAATGTTCATTACTAATCTTTCTATGAACATGATTTGATTATAACTCCAGATCAATGAAGGCGAAATAGCCTACTGTAACGTCTGCAATTATTTAAAATAAATAAATAAATGCAGCATATATGAACACGTACAGCCCCTTACAGTCTCCGATATGCTACTAATTAAAAAAAAATAAAGAAGAACTACACACAACATACATTTAGTCCTTATTTGGGTTCAAAAACAACATGAAATATAGCCCACAGTCAGAGCAAACCTCTCATCTATATCTTTAATCTTCCCCAGCACATGTAACCTTTTGTTAGGAAGTAATTCCGTCATTCCTAGTTCATAGTAATCCAAAAGGTGATCATAATAGCTAAACATGGCAGTTTGTTCATCTTAGGTTGCTGAAAGAGTCATTTGCTCCTTTGTTTTTTTTCACATGTGACTCTCGCGTTTGTCTGTTTCTGAAAGGATTGCATGCCAGAAGCACTTCCGTAATCACACACACGTTATTATCATCAGGTCAAGAAGTTTGTTTTTCAAGTAGACATGCATGCTCTTTCTCTCTTAGGAAAAGTGCTTTAGACAGCCTTGTAAACAACAATGGGGCACAGGATAGACTCTGCTCTTCTTCTTTGCTTTGTGGCTGTTCATCAAGAAGATGACAAGGTTTGTTTGAATTCGGGTCGACCATGGCTCTGTATTACATGTATATATTATTATGGTGTAATGCCTAAGCTGTGTATTTAAAAATGGCCCTTCCTTTGTTTTCATTCTCCTGGATTGTGCTAGTGACACTTCTCTGTGAACTAATAGCGTTCAGCTGTACATCTAGCTCCAACTTTTGGTACTCTTTTGTTGAGCTAAGTACCCTTTCGAAAGGGTACCCAAAAAGTGGTATGGTACGGTTCGCTTTTTGGTACCTTTTTACAGTGGAAATGGCCATAAAAGCGTATCGAACTGTACCCTACAGTCAGTGGAAATGGGCCATAAGCATTCACTTTAAGTGATATTTAGTAAGCTGTGCTGGGCTGGAGTGGGTCCACTTTTCAGCACAAGAGTTTTAGGCTCAGACCAGCTCTCTTTTTCAATGACGTTGGATATTAGATAAATGAAGAAATAGTTCAGCTATTACTAGGTTGTAGTTTTTATGATGTAGGCTGGTATTTTTAAAATTAGTTTAAAGATAGGTTGACAAAAATAGCCCTTTTCAGGTCTTTGAGTCTTTGAAATAAAACATTTAAAATTAATAAAACGCATTTTACTCCCTAAAGGAATGTGTGTTGCACTAGTGTTTATCTTTTTTGTTCATACTTTGAGCTGCGAATGTCATTAATAGCATCTACAACTGCCTATAAATTACTTGCATATACAAGATGTTCTTTGTAAGCAATGCTCCAGTTACCTCAACTTTAAATATATTTTTTTACGGCATACACATGGCTTAATTTGTGCTGGAACATGCCAGATCCGGAACCCCGATTTGTTGCAGGACTGGGCATACATAGAGCTAAATTATTTATCTTGTTTATTTTATCACATAATATTTGCAAATTCTGTGACTAACAATACATTGGGCTAACAGATATATTTCTTAATGATATCTGATTGTTATATTTGACCATTCGAGTCCAATTAGTCAGAAAATGAGAATTGAATTTGAGATAGCATGCTGTCTATCTGTCTAACAATAGAGATTTTATATCATTAGCACACTCTATATCATCATACCACCCAGCCTTAGAAGACGGCGAGCAACTTGTGTTGTTTTGTACTGCTGGATTAATTCATCAGGTTCTTGACAGGTGGCCTTAAAGCATAACAGCTCAATTCTCCCTGGGAACACCAGCTTCTACTTATAGTCCAAACTACAATACAAGACCTTATTTGGAAAGGCTTTTTCACTTATCGAAAGGCTGCTTTCCAAAAGTTTCATTTTATATTTGGAGGTTGAAATTGCAGTAAAAAGAAAAAAAAAACTGACTTTATGTTTTGGCAATGTCTACTGGATCATGTGAGACAACTTCCACTTCAATTTCTCGGCAGATAGGCAGTGTCTAATGAGAGGGGTTGGGCAGTGTTCAGTGCCGCTGATGGGATGTAATGGTGCAGGATGGGGGGTCCATCACCCCTGAAGCTCAGGCAGGAGGAATATGTATTCAGGTCATGTCCAGGACTCTGGGCCGTTCAGAGACTCGCATTGGATGTAGCTCCATGCTGAGCAGGACCAGTGCTCGCTGCGGTTGTCTGATGATATTAAACACATTCTCTGCATGTGTGGCCCTGGACTCCTGTGACCCATATGGTGAGGACTGTCTTCATGAAGTTTTCTGTTTTTATGCAGTACAAGCAAGAAAAATACACAAGTATCTATATAGCGCAAATACATTTTATGGTAACACTGTAATATGCTTATAATTTATTTTAAACTTTCTAAGTATGATTAGATTTAGGACTTGTTATGCATGGAATAAAGATTTTGTTTTGTTTTGTTTAGGGACAAACTAAATTGTTTATATATATATTTATAATGATCTCAATCATTATAAACCTTGGGCCCTCTTAAAATATTTTCTCCTGCACATGCCCCTTTGATAGTATCTGCACGGGCCTGATCTCAAGTAATGTTGTAAACTATACATAACAATGTTATATTTGATAATCATGGCTTGACGCTACCACTCGCCAACCCACCAAATGCGGGTCGATTTCAGCTGTGGCGGGTTAGACAGCCACTCCCACTAGCCACTTTGACTGGCTGAAAATCATTTTAATGCTGGCTCGTCACTAAAAAAAAGTAGTTTTAGTGTCATGCACATCACATCACACCAGTTGTGTGAAGCAACAACCATACCTGGAAATGCAAATGTTGCGATCTGTTCTCTTTTAAATATACAGGGTTTATAAAACAAGTTCAAGATTTTTTGGATGCAGCAGCGGTTGGCGCTTTCACAACCATTCTTTGAACAGATTATTATTGGGCCTAATGTTAACCATGTGTGCGCGATCATCCTTTCATTATCGCACGCTAAATGTTTTTCACCTCCTTTCTTTTGCTTATAGCTTTTTTATATCATCCTTTTATAATAACATTGATTTAATAGGAGATAAACCGTCCATTTATGTATAGTTACCTTATGATATGGGACATTTAGCCAGGACAGACTACCGTGCATAGTTTTAGATGAGATTTTTTTAAGGAATAATTTGATTCAATAATTTTGTTGAATAAAAAGTGCATGTATACAGCTATATTTTGCTTGTTCTTACACTTTTTTTTAATTGTGGCAAGGAAATAATTAGTTTGGTGTGGCCAGAGAAAAATTTGGTAAAGTCATGTGAAATGCAATGCTACACTATGAAACCACAGCTCATTTGCTCATGCTCACTGAGCAAGGTCATTTACAAAACACAAAAAAAAGTTAAATGAAAGAGGAGGCATATGGACATAACACATAATTTAAATCAAGTACTTTTAGCATACCAAAGTCAAATTTATGCATATAAAAATATATTTTCTTAACAACAGAATTGTGGCTAATGAAAATGGCAAGTGGCTAGTAACGCTGTAAAACTACTAGCCACTGTGGCTAAAAGTTGATGTCAAGCCCTGTTGATAATGCATTTCCTTGCTAAAATATTTTGTATACAGTGACTATCATACAATTTTTATTTTACTTGCACTTAAACAATTACCAGACATCCATAGTTTAAGTACAATCTAATATTTGCATAGGTTAATTCAATTCAAATGTACTTCTCTAGTTAATGTTTCCAGTAAACTAATGAGCTGTAGATACTGAATGGCTCACCTTAGGAAAATGTAATGCTACGAGACATTGTTTGAAAAAATTATGTCTTTCCATGACTGAAACACTAAACTGATGTATTCAATCATTTTTTTTAAATATACAGTTAGAGCACAACATAAATACTGTATGTTTACTAAAATTGACATCATTTGAAAGATCAAAAATAGCAACACAAAGCTTCATATTAGATGGGAGTTGCACTATATTCATTCATTATCAATATTTATTTATTTATTTATTTATTCAATTAAAAGCATAATACTTTAAATTGAAGATTTGCTAAAACTAGAAGTCTAAAACTAAATTAAATATACTAATCTAGGGTATGAAGTGGTTAAAACAACACTGCATTCAAGTACACAAGTGCACTGAACAGTAAGACCTGTACTTAAAACACCCTTACATGAAGCTTTAATATTTTTTTATTCAATTAGACAATATAACTTCAATTTCTTTTTCATGCAACAATGCAGATATGACCTGGTGCAAACAATAGTTTATTGCAACATATTTTACATTCAGTTATGTCTAAATAAAAAAAGAAAGAAAAATATGTACCTCAATAAAATGTATTTTATAAGTGTCTGTATACAAATATAAATCTCTGGTTTCTACAAAATTGTAATTTCCCCCCAAAAAATATTAGCACAGATGTGAATGATAGTAAACAAGTCTGCAGATTCC